AGACTCCGCGACCTACCTATCCCTTAATTTGTAAGTTACGCCATTAAATAAATCTCCTTTTAACTACGTGGAGTGGCCTTAATAATTTCACCAATAGAGTATTGTATAAGTATTTTATTACAGTGTGTGTGTGTGTGTGTGTGTGTGTGTGTGTGTGTGTGTGTGTGTGTGATGGCACAATAAGTGGAAGTCAAAGGATCACTCATGGGAATTGGTTCTCTCTTTCCACCATGTGATTCCTAGGATCAAACTCAGATTGTCTAGTTTCTCTACCCTCTGAACCATTTTGCCACCCCCCTGTAATCTTCTAAGAATTATGATTAAGACAACTGAAATTATATTAAATGTGAGTCATAATATCATATACATTAAATATCTATTCATCCAATATAATGAAAACTTTGCACACTTATGAACTTTTTGTAGGGTTGGGGATCAAATGCAGGTCACAATCCCTTCTGCATGAGCACTCTGCTACTGATCTGCACCCCACAATACTTTGTACCTCTGGACAATGAGCTCCTCATCTACTCACAGCGCCAGCTGCTCTGGTAGGAATAAAAATTTGTCAACAGAATAGATGCCAGTCATTCTTGCCACAAAATGTAAGTTAACTATTTCAAGATATGGATATGTTAATTTACTTTGGTGTAGCAATCATGCATGTCTATGTCTAGCAAAGTACCATATTTTTACTTTAAATACATCCAATTTTAAAAAACTAAATATAATTACAGTTAATTCATTGGATAATTAGGAGTATTCTGTGTTTTACATAGCCAACCACACTTATGCACTCTCTCCAATCTCATAACTAATTCTGGAAACAATGTAAGTACTATTAAAAGTGTCAGAGTTACCATTATCATCATTATTATTATTTTCATGGAAGAATAAAAGTCAATGAGTCTCTTTGGTAAATGGTTCACCTACAGTTTAAGACCTTACCGATCTTGTAGTAATTTAACAATAATGAGGCACAAAAGAAAAGCATCCATCTCTATGATATTGTTGATAACTTGAGGGGAGAGTTAAGGAGTTAAGCATTACCCTCTGTTTATCTATTTCTTCTACCAATGAATCTATTCAGTGTTCATTTAAGGATATTAACTAACCCAAACATCAATCAAAAATATTCATCCCAGAACAAGTATAAACATCCACAAGCGCTTCAACATCTGCTCTTTTTTTTCTTTCTGAAGGTTATTTGGACAAGTGAATCATTACTTCCTTGAAATTTGTCAGCAGAGACTGCAACTGAGTCTAGTAGTACACTGCTTTATCTCTACACTCAGGGCACTTGAGGGTTGGCACTCACTCAGAAATACACACATTCATCTGACTGTCACCGCATTTCTTGGAACAGAAGCTATACTTTATCTTCTTGGTGTTTGTAAAGCTTTAGAAAACCCAATGTCATTTGGCAGAGAGCTAAGGCATGCTCCACAAAATTTGATTTTACCCTGAAAATTTTCATTGATGTTTGAGTCTATGTTATTGAATCTGTATCATTTCCAACCATTTCATAGAATTATATTCTATGAAGGAACATAATTCTGTGAGTATAAGAAAAAAAATTATTGAACATTTCACTGGTTAAAATATTTGGAAGCTTCAAAATTTAAAAGTGATGAAATTTTACTTGGGGGACGTTTTATACTATCATCAAATACAATCAATGTTTTTGCCTCATGATAATTTCATTGTTTACATGGCAGGTTGCATTATTAACATAAACTCTTTTATTAATGAAATATTTCAAAATCTGTGCCTTTGTATTTGTGTGTGTAGAAAATTAGTGAAACACGCCGGGCGGTGGTGGCGCACGCCTTTAATCCCAGCATTCGGGAGGCAGAGCCAGGTGGATCTCTGTGAGTTCGAGGCCAGCCTGGGCTACCAAGTGAGTTCCAGGAAAGGCGCAAAGCTACACAGAGAAACCCTGCCTCGAAAAACCAAAAAAAAAAAAAAAAAGAAAATTAGTGAAACACAATACATAAATATTCTCAAGTTAACATTTGATACGATTTAGGCAATATCAAATGTAAGTGAGAAGAAAATATGTTGATAACTCAAGATAAATAAGCACAAAATATATAGATGCTTATAGAAATTTGAAGACAAAAATATGATTGAGACAATTTTGAGAAAATGAATTTAAGTAAAAAAAAAAAGCATTGCCAGAGAATGGACAGATTCTAGCTTTGCATTTATGTTTTCCTTAGCTCACAAAAAAGGAATCTCTAATTATAATCTGGGACTGGTGCCATATGACTAAAAGAGCAGTTCCTTCATCCTGTCTTTTAGCTCTAGTGACCAAATGGCTAACGTCTGGGTGAAGGTGTTAGCAGAAGTGTTGGATGGTACGTTGTTGAAGTTTCCTTTTCATGCTACTCTATTTGTTGACTGAAATTTCCGCACACTTCTTTTTGCATTTTAATTTTTTTTGAAAATGCCATTTATGTATATACCATGAACGATGATCATATGTACTCCCCATCTCCCCAAATTCCCTTATATCTCTTCAAAATGATCCTTCCCAACTTTTTTTAAACCTAATTCCAGTTAGCAAAGCCATTTTGGCATAGGTGTGAGGGCATGGAGTCCCACTGGGGCATAGAAATCCCCAGTGGCTACATCCTCAATAAAAAAAGATTCTTCCCTTTGCAGTAACTATCCACTGGCACTAACTCCTCAGTAAGGAGTAGAGTCTGGACATCATCTACCCCATCCATTCTTGGGTTTTCGACAACTTCATCTGGTGTAGAGCCTGTCTATATGCTTCTTGAATCACAAAATGACCTAGTGAATGATACTCACAATGTGTAATGTCCAAAGGCTGACACAACAAATTTGATACAAGGGCTCTGAACTGCTCACTCCACGCTTCGTAAAAAATAAAGTATAATGTCATATAGACCCTGGCTTGCTCACAGGGGAACCCAATTCTTACCAACCTATGTCACATACATAGACGGTTTGCTTTCCTGATATAATCAAGATAATTACAATCCTATAATAGTCTCAAATCTAGATCATTTGTCATTTCATTAAAATTCTAGTTTCAAAATGAATTCACTTATGTATCATTCTACTGTCTTGTCCAAACTGCTTCACTTTCTGTGACTAAATATTTCTTTTAAAAGTCCTAGAAAGAGTGACTCAGTTTATTTTTACTTTTTTCTTTTTCTCTACTCAATAATAAATTCTCAAATATCCATCCTTGAGAACTCAGCTTCAACTTTCAGAAATACTGTTTAAGTTCATTTTGGGAAAGCTCTAATTCTCCATATTCATACTTGTACTTAAAAATATACTCTCTGTACTGGCTGGTTTTGTCTCAACTTGACACGTGAAGGGTCATTAGAGAAGAAGGTGCCTCAGTTGAGGAAATGCCTCCATGAGATCCAGCTGTAAGGCATTTTCTTAATTAGTGATCAAAGCGGGGAGGGCCCAGCCTGTGGTGGGTGGTGCCATCCCCAGGCTGCTAGTCTTAGCTCTATAAGAAAGCAGGCTGAGCAAGCAAGAGGAAGCAAGTCAGTAAGCAGCACCCTTCCATTGTCTCTTCATCAGCTCCTGCCTCCAGGATCCTGCCCTGTTTGAGTTCCTGTCCTGACTTTTTTCAGGGGTCAAAAGCAATATGGAAGTGTAAGCTAAATAAACCCTTTCCTCCCCAACTAGCTGTATGGTGATGTTGTTTCGTCTCAGCAATAGAAGCCCTAACTAAGACATTCTCTTAAGATGCTTCTTTGACCTTATATACATCATTTGTGCTTGTCATACAACTCTACCTAAATCATACAACTATTTCATAGTTAAAAAGCAAACAAGAAAGCTCTTCTACTACCATTACTTCTTATCTTGGAAGAAAGGTTCTATCCTTTCCTAGATAACCAGTACTCATGTGTGGTCAATCCCTAAATTGTATAAGAATTTATAAGCCCTATTATTTCCACCTTTCCTTTTCTCTGGAATTTCAACACTGCTTTCCTCATCTATGTTCGCTGCTACAATTCAAGTGAAGCCTTTTCCTACTAACTGGCCCAGTTTGCTCTCAGTTAGTACTCTTCCTGTAACATGACCTTGTTGTCATCACAACGGCTTGTAGATGACTTCTCCAGGCCCATGGATTGTATCTATCCTTAGGTGTCAGCTTGCTAGAGCTTTCAAGACACCACAGGGGTGAATTAAACACCAGGATGCATTTCTCATTTTTCTGGGGGCTGGTAGTATAGCATCAAGGCTCCAGCAGAGAAATTTCTTCGGATGCTTCTCTTCTTGGCTTACTTAAACTGCCTGCTTGCTGTCTCTTCACACGTTTTTTTGTTTTTGTTTACATGTGTGAAAACATAGCTACTCTCTCTCTCTCTCTCTCTCTCTCTCTCTCTCTCTCTCTCTGTGTGTGTGTGTGTGTGTGTGTGTGTGTGTGTGTGTGTGTGTGTGTGTGTGCGTGTGTGTTTCTTAACCACTTTTCTTCATAAGGCTACATCAGATTAGATTTGTCTCCATGCTAAAGGATTCCTTTCATTTTCTAATATTGTAAGTGTTGTCTCTGAAGATAGCCACATTTTGAGGTACTGTGGATTAGTCATTGCTTACACTATACTATCTGTCTGTATTTATGTGACAAGTAACAAAGCTCTCTGACTCTCTCCTTGGTGTCTCTCTCTGTTTCTCCCTCTCTCTCTCTCCTAATCTCACTTTTTAAAATGTTTAACAAGTTTTGCCGTTCTTTTTGAATATTTATAATTATGCCAATTTTCTCTTTGTGATGCTGCTTAGAACATATTGATCTAGGTTGCTTTTCTGTAATGCCTTTGCTGAAACCTAGCCCTATTCTTATGCCCCTAAAGTGATAAGATGACTTGAGGGTTGTGTTCTTCAACTTTTCCTCACTATGACAGTGAGATAAACAACCTTTAAGGAGATGGAAAAGTTTCTTTACTGTGTGGTATTAGTCTATGGGTACTTGACTCCGTTGATTTGAACATGTGAATACATACCATATCATGGTGGGCACATGCAAAGGAAGACCCTTCCTGATAGCTGTCAAACAAAGAGAGAACAAGAAATGAGTGAAGGTCTCATATTTCATTAAAGGTGGGTCCCCAAGAATTTAGCTTGCTTGTATTTGATCCCACATCTCAAGGATACCTCCATTTCACAATAGAAGCAGAGACTGGTGCTTCAGACTTCCAGAACTGGGCCTTTAGAAGATACCCCCAGCCCCAAATAAGGGACATTATATTTATTTCTATGTCATTCTTGATTATTATTTTGGAGTTGGAAAATCTTAAAGACTTGTGGCCAGAATTTCATTTAAGGATATTTATTCCTATATTATATAGGTTAATCATTCACACTTAGAATGAATTTAAAACTCCTAGTCCGGTATGTCAGCTGATCAGTAGTGGGTCCCACATGATAATTCTAGTGTAATAAACAGTTATTAAGACTTAAGAAACAATGCTTTCATTTTAGATTTAGTTTTTAGTTAAAATACAATGACATTTCCCCCTTTCCTTCATTAATCTCCTTCCATGTCCTTCACCTCCAACCTCACCTGAGTGTACCCTCATAATAGCTCTTAAGTTCATGGTCCCTTTTTCTATGGTTATTGATGCTACACCAAGGTTAGAAGTAAAAGCTCTCTATTGGTTATTCCATTTCACTAATGTGTGGTAGAGTATGGCATTTTAAAATTTTATATGATGACTTAAGAATCCACTTCCTGACAGACTGACAGTTGAAGACAATAACCAAGATTTCAGAGCAAGAAATCAAGCAAGCTGAGATCATCATGAAAGGAAAGTAATTTTCATTTATTTTTCCTGACCATATTACCTTGTCAAAACAGTCACCACGGCACCTTAGGAGGAGGACAAGCAGCAAATCACTGATACCTAAGTGGTTTCCTCAGTAAATGCTCCAACAGTACAGAAAGCCATTCACTCAAACTTCCCCATCATTTTACATTTACTTTGCTGCAGCGTGTGCTCTGAATTGAAACAGTAGAAAAGAGACAGACTATTAAGCAAGTAACTTAATTGTAAGCACAACATTGTGGCTTAAGATAGTAGTTTAGGTCAGTTTAGCAATAGGTACAAAAGCAATAGGTGTTGTGTTCAAATTATTTCTATGTTGAAAAGGAAAGGAGGTTTGAGGACATGTTTCTATCAATCTTGATAATTGGAACGATAGTAATACTAACTTAGGATGCTGTCGTGAAATCTAAGGACTGAAAGTGGCTCACGCTGGAATGTTGAAATATGCCCTCCATAAACTAGTAAAGTGAAATCCTAGCCTCTGATATCATAGCGCTTGGAGGTGAAGCGTCTGGGAAGTAAAAAGGATTAGATCCCTTATGATCTGCTTGGCAGTCTTAGGAGGAAGACAGGATGGTCTGTGAACACAGTGAGGGAAGGACATTCAGGGACACACTTTGAGGAGCACAGTTTTTTAGCCAAAAAGACAGGCTTCACCAGTAATGAAACTAGAAATCTAATATTAGCTTTTAGAATAGTGAGAAATAATTTTCTGATGTCTAAGCCACCTGGGATAGAGTGTTTTGTTATAGCAGCCCAAGCCTAGGAACTGCCCTCACTTTTTCCAATTGTGCCCCTGGTAAAGGGGTTCACAAGCCACAAAGAAAAAACTCCCATTCATTATTTTAAAAGGTTTCCTTAAATATAAAGGATGAGATAAATGCAAGATGTTCTTTGTTCCATGTATCTCCTAAAGATAACTTTTTTTGAAGATAAAACTTCCACCCTTTCCCAAATTAAGAAAATGCCCCACCTCTGCTTCCACACTTTTGTCCTTTTATTCCACAACTGCAGCAAGGTTTTCTAAAATTCAAAGACAACACCTTGCTTCATCTGTCTGTTTGCACCTGAAAATTCCATGGAGACCTTAATAAATATGACAACTTTCTCATCTTTTTGCCTGTAGCAGCACAGTCTAAATACAAATATAATGTAATGGTACTACACTAATACATATTGGAAGAATATTTTACAATATGGGTCACTGGAAATGACAGCTACATTTTTTGTGGCATGTTCACACGTCACTTTAAATTCAATGCCATATGTGTTCTGAATCTTTTAAATTTTATCACTTTAAAAACTATGGTAACAATAGTTTATATGAGATTGTTCTTCAACAAAATTTTCAGGATATTATACAATACTTTCAACTATAAGCACAGAATGGTACATTTCTAGAATTTTCTTCATAAAAAGACTTATTTTTTGTTAATTTTAGGTATATGTGTCTCTGAATGACTATGGGCATGTGAATGCTTGTACCCATGCATGCCAGAAGACAGTGTTGAATAACCTGAGGCTGGAACTAACCACTGAACAGTCTTTCCAGGACATTTTTATATTTTATTGACATAACTGAAAATTTATGATAGAATTCTCTTCTACATTTTCAAATATGGATAGCAATATGAAAATAAACAATGAAAAGTTACTTTCAACTGTAAATCAACTGTGTCCTGAGCCCCAATCTCTTCAACTTATAATCCACCATTTATTATTCTGAGGTTAATAATGCCAAGAAAGTATAATCATGTTTTAACACTAATGTGTTTGTTTGATTGTTCATTTGTTCTGTTCTAGTCCAGATTGTTTTCCCCTTTATTATTATTTGTAGATAACTTTTTGTTTTCTAATGAGAGAGAGAAAGAAAAGGTTGGGATTTGGATGGGGGCAGAGGTAGGGAGGATGTGGGAGGAGTTGGGAAAGAGAAACCATAACCAGAGTATATTGTATGAAAAAAATCTATTTCCAATAAAAAGCAGGAAAAAAGTTAACTGTTTCAATATTCCTATACACAAATAGATACCAACCAGATTGCTTGAAATGAGGCTTATTATAAATTATCATATTACTTTTTTCTGCATTAAAATATGTAAATTCCCTTTAGCCCTGAATAACTGAAAATGTTTGTTCTTGAAGGATTGAATTGAGCAAAGTAAGTTATGATTGCAGACTTCATCATAAGGCAGATATGAGTTTCATATTTACTTATTTATGGCAAAATATCTTTGTTACCTTTGGCAAATATGCATAAGCATTAATTTCACTGTCATCTGAGAACACCGAGCATCATTGAAATAATATACCCATATCACAGGGCTATGTTATCACCCTAAACCTCAGGTTGATTCTGTATGGGATCCTTTACTAGGAAAGGAGGAACACTAATGTGCATGTCACCATCCTTGCTTTCCTTGTGCACCATGGTATCAGAAAAGTAGATTAATAATCATCAAGAAATATCTTTAATCTATAACAAAGAGATATATTAATAGGATAAATGCTTTGCTTCTGGAGAGTCAATGCTGTTATGAAATTACAATAACCTTGAAGAACACAGAAGATAAGTCAGGCTCCATTGAAACAGAGAAGTCACCTACACTGAAGACTACTTGCACTATTCAAAGACTGTGAAGAAACACACACACACACTGGAAGGATGCAGTAGTTATAATCTGGAGCTGGAGTCTTTTGGATATGACAGTGCTTTTGAGTGTCAACTGTTTTTCTCAGTTCTATAGAAAGATGATAATTAGATGTTTAGCGTGTTATTTAAGGGATGGTTTAAGTCCCCTAAGCCAGAGGCTGGCTTTTCTTGATTATTCTTTCCCCCCATCAAAGTGAAATGTGAAAATCGATGGAGAAGAGAAAGGTGCAATTTTTACTTTCTTTTATTTTACACAAAGAATAACAATGCAGGATATTGAGGAAATGTCATTTTCACAGGAAGGTGAGTGAATGCTTATTGGAGGCAGGCAGTAAAGGTGCAGGGTTTCCAAGCTGCTGCAGGTGCTTAAACGTTCATCAGAAATATTGTGCTCTTGATTATCACTGCTCCTCACACATCCTGTAACCCCAGACTCAACGCAAATGACAAAGCTTCCCCTCCTTGGAGTCTCAGGCACTATGTGACACCCTTGGAACAATCCACTTAGTGTCCATGTAAATGACCTACTTTATTTTTTAAAAGAAGCATTAGCAGCAGTTTGCATGTCAACAGCAGCCAGGAAGATCATCCCAGTCCAGAACAGTCCTGGAGAGGAGTCTGCTCAATATCCAGGAGCTTTCTTTCATCAAGAGGATCCTTTGATCTTTGTAATCCACACCCGCATCCATTGTTAAATGATAGGTTGGAAATGGTTTATTATAATTGCTAGCTCCACTTCAGTATCCACAACAGTCACTTATTAAAGACGGAAAACAATTACAACTCAAAAAAGTACCAAACCTTATAACCAGGAGACAATGCATAGATAGCACCAAGTTCAAAACCTGCTTAACATCCCCCACTCGAAACGCTGCAAAAATGTCTGTCTCCAAAACACATCCTAGCATATCAAAACTAAATAAAATGCATTCTTATTTTCAATTGCTTAGCATTTCTCCCAAATCCACTTTTCCTTCACCTAGGCTCCCAGGACTAGCTTCTAGCTCTTGCCTTCATTGCACCAGAAGGAAAACCAGCGTTGAACTCAAAAATGCAGACTCTGTGGGTGCTGTTCCTTGAGCAGCAGAGCAAAAGGCTTGTGGTTCGCTCACTCCGCGGGACAGTTTCCATGGATCCATCATCCCCAAACCCGACAAGAATCTCGGAAAAGGACTCTGCCTGGTTCTCTCACACAGGTTCTAAAGCCGACTCACCAAGAAATTCAGACTGCACCCCTGCTTTCTGAATGTCATTGGGGCCCTGGGTGCTGCTGCCAGCTTACCTTACCATGCTTTGCTACTCAGGCAATGAATAGCCTTGCTGCAGCTCCTACCAACATAAGTTTCTTCTTTTGCTCAAAATTCTCTTCTCTTCCACTTTCGCAACCTACAATTTCTCCTTCAAGCGCTCAAATACTGTATTTTCTCATTCTCAGTCAGTCGGCTTCCAACTCAACTGGAAAAGGGCCACTCAAAATACCCTGGATCTTCAGAGAAGACGCTCTTGTTCAGACAGCGGGGGAGTGGCGCGTCCCTTCTGCAAAGGGTCCTAGCGCCATCTCTATGCCGCCGCATCACTTTTCTTTCTCTGTCTGAATCCACAGAGATTTAGTGAAGAGCCTGGAAGAGAAACTCACTGCCATCCAGCCTTTCCAGTACTTGGGAAGCAGAATAATCGCAGTAAAGCTTTGCTGAACTTGAGCGCGGAACATAAAGGAGAATCAGGGTTCAAGTACAATAAAATAAAAATCAAAGAAACCGTCGTGGCAAAAGTTTACTTTCCATTTTTTTTTCCCGTTAGCAATGAATTCCTGCTCTCCCCGTCCAGGCAAGACAAACTTCCAGAGGATGGATTCCTAGCAGGGACTTGTGGCGGATTCTGACAGCTTCACAGAGTAAAGATTATCTGGTTTAGCGCGCCCAGCTGCGCAGAACACAGAGCCTCTGTCTTGAGGGCAGAGTAAATTTGCCATAGGAGCTACCAGGAGACCTACACACTACTTCTGCCAAAATACTGGAAGGGGAAATGAAATGGGCTGGATCTCCAGGCTTCTATTTCCTCCTCTTTCTCCAGCTGACTCTTAAGCTCACTACCATCCAGTTTTTAATAAAAACGTAGACCCGAAATTAGTCCTGATCCAAAAGCTGGCCAACACAAGTCCCTGGTCAATTCGTTGCAAAACCACCTAAGTGAACTTCGGGAGCTCTTTGAGACAAAGTTATGGAATGGGCAAGAGGGAATGTCGCGAGGAGATTCTGTCCAGGAAATGGTGTCAAGATTCCTCCATTCAAACGATGTCGGGGAGTCCCTTGCTCCTTGGTGAGGTGCTGCGGGAACTTCAATTCTCCACTGAAGAAGGGGCGCTGGTCACTCTGAAGGGTGGGGATGGGAAGAGGGTCTGTAGTCCTGTTATCTCCGGGTTCAGGGTTCCCGGAGGAGAGCTGACCACGGGGAAGAGCTAGGAGTGGAGATGCGAGACAGGGCGGGGAGACCGGAGAAGGTGAAACAGACTTGAGGGCTCTGTTAACTGGAGAGGAGGTACGATGTCACCATCCTTCCCATTCTGGGAACCCCTGGTGCGGGTTCGCATATTGCTTTCGCCTGTGGCCTGGGGCCGCGATCGTGAGGCTGGGCGTGCGTGTTGGTGCGCGCGCGCGGGGGTGTGCGTGTGAGCGGTGCGTGTGAGCCGGGGCGTGTGTGCGCGCAGTCCGCGCTCTGAGTGTGGCCGCCGGGACCCAGCAGCCCGCCGCCCGCCCGGTGTCCCTCCTTCCCAGCTCCTCAGCCTCTTCACCGGGCTTCCCATCACCCGCCCCTCGCCGGTTGCGGCCTCCACTCAAAGTTTCCTCGGCAGAGACGCCTGGGCGCAGCGGCTGGAACCAAGATACCGCGGTGGAGGGCGGTCCTCGGCGTGGCTCCGCTGCCAGCACCTGCTCCGCACCCAAGCCGCCCGAGCGCAGGTTTTCCCACTTGGCGGGGAGAAGGGGGAGGGGTATGGTGGCGAGAGACAGAGAGGAGCCCAGGTTCCTGACACCCTGAAAACCCTACAGGGTTTGGCTGCCCAAGGCATTGGTGGGGTCACAGAAGAAAACTGGATCCGCAGCCAAGTTGCCTGAGCAGGGACAGGGGAGGCTTCCACTGCCGCCAAGGTTGTCCCCGTCTCGGTCGCCACAGGCGTGAGGGTTTGGAGACGCCTCGGCTGCCAGGGCTTTAGAACCTACATTCCCTCCCTGGCCCCTTTGAAAGGAAACGCCGACCAAGCTGAGACAGGGGGACGCCTGGAAAAAGACCCCGGACTCCTGTGCGCTTCATCCACCTTGGCTTTGGATTTTAAGGACACGAAGGGGCATGAGCAGCCTCTCAAGGTAAGAGAGCGCAAACCTGCTGCTTGATTCTCCAGAGAGAATAACTTAAAATAGACATTGGGGATGCGGTGGGGGATAAGGCAAGTTACGTGGAACCCCCCCGGCTGTTGCCACGCAGCTGCACAATCCGAGCGAATGGCTCCGGGCAGGCAAGTGGAGGACCAGCCGGTGCAGATGGTTGAGGTGGCAAAAGGGAGTGTCCTATCCTCACACTTCTGGATACCTATTGGGGATTGCATCTGGGGCTGGGTCCTCTGTCCAGGCTGATTTACATCTGGGCTTGGCTCTTGTTTTGTTTTTATTTTCTATTCTGGAGAGATTTTTCTTTAGCCCCGCACATTCATCCCCTCTTTGCGATAGGGAGTTGTAGGCCCTGGTCCAGGAAGTACATTGGGTGGCAGGTGAGGCTGGAGTAGGCGGGCGGGATGCTGGGATCTGGAAGTCCACGCCGCCACCTGGTCCGCTCCCTGCAGCCGGCGTCGGAGGGGAGCCCGGGCGCAGCGGGTCGGCTGTGTTGCGCTTGGCCTCCGCTAGAGGCTCCCAGCAGGCGCGGCGAAGCGGGTGGGTGTGGGGGCGCCGGGCGGCTGGGGGGCAGCTCGAGGAGAGAGTGTGCCCGCCGGGTGGCCGAGGCGGCGCTGCAGAGGGGGTCCACCCCGGCCGGGGAGGGGGAAGTGAGCCCGAGTCCCCGCGCTCCTCGTAGCTAGGCGCCCGCTCGCCCGGACCCGAGTCCGAATCTAGGCTGTGCCTTGGGAAGCTGTGCGGGAAGCCAGAGCCACTTCGGGAAGGCAAGCTTAGTCTGCGCCCTGAAGGCAGCCCCAGGAGGTAAAGCCTCTCTCTACTTCTAACCCAACCTCTGGTCTTGGGAAATTCTCAGGCTGATACTCAGATCGCATCCAGGGAAGGAGGGGGTGGTGGTGGTAATCTGTGAGATCCTTCTTTTCTGTGGCATTCTGGGGAGTGTGCATTCGAAGTAATCCCTGTTTCGTCTCTTACTCTGGACATTTGCTTCCTTTAAGGGCAGTTTTTTTTTTAAGTAATATTTTTTCTTCTTAATATTTTTGTTGTTGTTGTTGGCAATGTGTGCCAGGTGACTGTCTGTCACTAACTGCTAGGAGCTCAGCAAGGCAATCTGCTAGGTCCCCCCTCTGAGCCGCAGTGGACTTGAGTGCAAGACTCAAGGGATGGGGTGTGGTGACAAAAAGGGAGTACCACACCCTGTGCTTTTCTTCCCCTTTCCTCTTCACCTGCTGGTGAAGTCGCTCCATTCAGCATTTTACTAAGCTCTTTGCCCAAGGGACTGACGGAGAACAGAGCAAAGCTACTGAATGACTCGGAAAGGGAAAGAAAAGATGAGTAGGAAGTCATGGCCTGAACGTCATGGGGTAGAAGGAGGGTGAAGTTAAGGCTCCTGAGGAGGTGGGGGTTGTTGTTGTTGGGAAATGGCTTTGAGTTCAGATTAATGAAGCAAGGTTCTTCACATTTCACAGTGCCTCTGACATTTTCCAGTATGTTCAATGCACTAAGAAATGTCTCTGCTAAGTACTGACTTGGCCATGGTGGCCACTGGATGTGTTTGATTGTGCATAAGCCACAAAAGAGTAAATGAATATTTAAGATATTGTGCATCCTCGGTGAGATTACCATATGTCTGTCAGAGTGCTGGAAATACATTTTCCAGTGTGCTGTGTAGAGTTTGTGCTTATCACGTGTGGTCATTTTCTACTCTAACACAATTTTAGAGTGCACTAAGGGTGGTTGTTACACCTCTTGAGATATTAACCCTCTTATGGAATATTACTCAAGGAAGGAAAAAATAGATGGATCATTGTATGTTCTAGGAATAATGAATAAAAGTCAAGATCGAGCGGCTATGATATACCAGGTCATAACATGAAAATGACAGGAAAAATGATTTTCAGAACTGAGAAGCAATGGTTAACATTTTTAAAAAAAGAGATCTTTTTATGGGTGCTCTCACCAACTTTATTAGTGTATATTACTTTCAGTACTGAAGTGTGAGGCAGACAAATCTGAAGCACTTCCTGCTGCTGAAAGCCAGCATACATATTGAGATAGTGCCAGGAATTTTCACCTTAAAGTTCTCAAGTTGCTCAACTGACTACTGATGATGAAGTGGTTTGGTTACCATTCATGTGGAAGACATCCATTATTTACCTATTGATTAATCTATATATGGAAGTAAATTTTTCATATAATGGTTGTATTTTAATGTCAATGGAAGCTAGACAATGTATTGATGCTTTATATTACAGGCTATTACACACTATCATCTGGAGAACATTTATATTGTTTTTCAGAGGAAACAAGAAGAAATATCTTACCAAGTTCTCAGAAAAAATAGTTAGTTCTTAAAATATATTGTCCTTAGAAATTTTGTGACATAGAAATGATTGTTATCAGTCTGCATAGTTATCTACACATACAGACACATAGCATATATTTGTAGAATTAACCAAACTAAAGTAAAATTTAGGGTTCAGTTGTCTTTCTGAAACACATTTAAAAGCAAAAGAGGTTTTTTTTTTAAAAAATTAAAATCTGTTTGAGGCTTAAAATGTCTGGTGTTTCATAAATTTTATTGAATCAAACAAGTGATACTGCTTTGCAATCTCGAATTAAGGTTTGAGGCACCATCTCTAAAATAATTTCTCCTTAGTAAAGGCAATTTTAGAAAGGACCAAATATTGAACTCTTCCAGGGATGCTCTGGAGCTGAAAATGGCCAGGTTCCTATGAAACTTCATGTGTAGAATCAGAACTGATAGGAAGTTGTCACAAATTAATTGGCTTGATGCTTCAATTAAAAACTGATTATTATCTGGCTCTGGTAGTCATTATGGTTGATTTCATTTGGTCTCCAGATATTCTGGGAAAGGACTCTAGGTGGAAATGTTTTCCTGCAGTACATGCAGAAGTGGTCGCTATATGCAGACAGGTTCGGCAGTTACTGTTTCTCCAGTCTGGTTGGTTTTTATCCACAAGGCAGCCTGCTAGATGGAAAAAAAATCAATTTTCTGATTTTATAGGAACATTTCCCTCATTGAAAGGCCTCAAACTAAGCTTTTTATGATTTTGATGAGACGATACGGTAGCAGGCCACAGCCTTTTATGGTTTCGGGGTTACTTCAGCTTTACAAACTTTAAAATCTGGTTAAACATAAAACAATACATATCATGAAAGAAATAAATTGTATTTGTAAAAAATATTTGATAATTAGATAAAGTAGACCACCGCAGACAAGTTAAATCCTAGGTCTCAGGCTTACCTCTCCCACTGTGCTCCAGGTTGTTATTTTATGTTTTTTGCTTGTTTTCTTTTTTGCTATGCATTTTAAAATGTTTTTTTTTCTTCCCTTTAAATTATTTCCTTCCGAATACTATCCTTGTGAGGTATTTTTCAGTTAGTAGATCTTAATTCATTTTTAAATAGGTGGTAGTCGCTTGGATGTCACTTTCACTGGGCAGCAACTTCCTTGATTTTGCTTCTGGGAAGCAAAGAGGGTTGAAAAGTCAGTGGAGATGAATGGGCTTCTGCGGAGTTTGCATCTCTCTACTTCCAGTGACTTACTTCACTGTAATCAAATGCACCCTGTTTATCATGAGCAGATTGATCTAGCCAGTGCACTTGTTCCGAAATTACTAACAACTTTTGGGAAACCTTAATTCCAATCAAGCCATGTACACACACACACACACACACACACACACACACACACACACACACACACACACTTATCTTTGTGTATCTATATTTTTGTGTATGCTTACTATGACACAGGTAGCAACTGTGATTGCTTCCACTGAAGTCAGGAAAGTTATTCAATATCCATGAACACTTTTAAAGTATTTAGCTTGTGGACTCTTGGTTCAGTAGCTTAATCTATAACATTAAACTCAAGCCTCATATAACATCTTAGTTTTCACAGCAGAACTAGCCATAGGAGATCAACTATCCCCTTTGTCCTGTTTTATTTTAGTGATTTCAGTGTCAGCACTGTTAGTTATGTGTTTCTTTTGCCAAGTGAATTACCAAGAAACTAGTAGATATTAATGAATTTGGATTTGAATAAAATTCTGAAACTTCATTGACATATTTATGTGGTCTTTTGATAAGTCAAGAAGACCATTAGAATTTGTAACTGGAATACATTTTGTTGTGTTTTGTAGCTATATTTACTGCTTAATATTAAGCTCAGCCTCTGTTCATTAACTGTAACTATAAGTCAAATATAATTTCCTTCTTTTGAGCTTTGGATTCACTGTTAATATGAGTTTATTTTCATTATAAAGTAAGACTAAATCGAAGCCTAGAAATCTAGGCTAGCAAACAAATTGTTTCAGATCATAGAACATAATAGCAATATGCCTGTAAAAAGGGAATTATCATATTTACAAAATTAATAATTAAATTTCAGCATAACAGAAATAGATACAGAAATTTACAATTCCTGGCACATTTCAGCTTCTAGATGTGTGTGATTCTATGTCCAATGGATTCTCAATTGGACTGCATAAGAGGACCTTGTGTCTTCATACAGTTTCATTCTAATATAATGTAACTATGTTTAGCTACAAGGTATCTACCTAGTAGCCAGCATGAAGGGAAAAACTAAGTATAAAATTGTATTGTTATTGATGTTCCCTGGCAGTCAGAAATAATGCCTCATGGGAAATGTTGAGTTATGAAACAGTGGGCTCCATTGTTCAAAAGGGAGGTGCTTTTATCCATCCTAATTTTTTTTCTGGACTTGGTCACACACATATACACACATGCATTCTCTCACCCTGCACAGGCAAATGTATGCGTGTACATATGGGTGAGGAGAAAGATAGAGGTTCCTGTGAAGATATATGATGACGAGAATGTGCTCGTTAAGCTTATCATTATGGTTCACATATAGTTTCTTTCATGCAGTTTCACTCATAGGTAGTCACACAACAATAACCTTGGCCTAGTTGATTTCATTTATATCAATTAAT